AGGGTGTATAGTTTGGGGTTCAGGGTTTAGGGTTTAGGGTTTAGGGTGTATAGTTTGGGGTTCAGGGTTTAGGGTTTAGGGGTCAGGGTTCAGGGTTTAGGGTTTAGGGCTTTATGGCTTTAGGGTTTAGGGTTTAGGGTTCAGGGTTTAGGGTTTAGGGTTCAGGGTTTAGGGTTTAGGGTTTGAGCTACTGGACCTTAACCTAACCACTCTAACTAAAGCCTCAATGCTATCATCGTAAGCCCTAAACTTTCAATCCTCGAGTTTAGATTTTCCCTTAATCTTTGCACCCCCAGGGTACTGCCTGGTGCTTAGTAGGGAATGGGGGGATGGCTATGATAGTCCCTAAAGGTCCCTTATAGTAGTCCCTATAGGGTTTAGGGTTTAGGGTTTAAATCTACGTTCAAAGCATACCTGTCCTAAGTAATCAGAAGTAATGTTCCGTCCGTTGACAGGATCTTCGCCTTGCGAAGCCCTAGAACCCGAAACGGGAACTCGAACTGAAATGCAGGCACCTGACCCCTACTCCGTCGCCTGCTCGGCAGATGCTGAACGAACCCTCCTCTGTGCCTTGGCCGGTTGCGCTTTTTTCCGAGTGTCAGTTTAGGGTTTAGGGTTTAGGGTTTAGGGTTAGGAATTACCCGTAAGAATCTGGACAACTAGGTTATCGTTGGGTAGCGCTCCTAAAAAAATGCAGTGTACCATGACCTTCCCAGGGCGCTACACCCAGAAAACCCTACACTTCAGTAGGTTACACGGACCGTACGCTATGGAGGGCTTATACTATGGTTTAAGGCATTTGCCTTAGTCGCCGGGTCTTGGGCTCTTTGGTGAAACGATTTAAGTTTGGGTTTCGGGACGGGGGCTTAAAGTTTAACCCCCGAAGCTGTAAAGTAGAGCCTACGTTACATGATATGGTTTTCGTCAGATACGGGTTTTAAGTTCGAAGTACCCCTGAGGTTTAGGGCTTTGGGGTTTTAGTGTGTTAGGGTTCAGTATTTACGGTTCAGGGCCTTGGGTGCTAGTCCAACCTCTCAACCTCTTGTTTAGGGTTTAGGGTTTAGGGTTTAGGGTTTAGGGACAGACTAAGTCCCGCGATGTTTTAGATGGTGTGCATTTACTTCAAAGCGGGAAGATCCACCTCACATGCTTAAACCCTAAACGCTAAACCCCTAACCTCTAAACCCTAAACCGTAACCCCTACGCCTAAAGACCTAAACTCTGCACCCGATATAACTGGGTCCTTGTTGGATACACTTTTTTACATTTTCGTTATAACAAAGCCCAAGAAGGATTACCAATTGTGATTTTTAATATAGTCCCAACAGGGAACCAGATAGACCCAAGCCCTAAACCCTAAACCCAACAGGGACCCAGATAAACTAATCCCTAAACCGTAAACCCTAAACCTAAACCCTAAACCCGACAGGCAACCAGATACACTTTCAGAAACCACGGCCGAAAGCCGGAAGCCTAAACCCCTCAGCCCGAGAAGCGGAAAAGACAAAACAAAGGAAGCGGTTCAGGGAATAGGGTTTAGGGTTTAGTGTTTAGGGTTTTAGGTTTAGGGTTTAGTGTTTCGGGTTTGGGGTTTAGGGTTTAGGGTTTGGGGTTGAGGGTTTAGTGTTTAGGGCTTAAGGTTTAGGGTCTAGTGTTTTTGGCTTAAGGTTTAGGGTTTAGCGTTTAGGGCCCAGGCCATCTTCCTGCCTGGAACGCCTCGTCGACGCCTCCTGTACCGGCTTTCCGCCACCGCGCCGACGCAGTGATCTATGCAGCTTGTCCGCACCAAAGGTCTTTGTTGGGGTTTCGAGTTTACGGTTTTTGGGCTTATGATTGAAGTAGGGATTTAGTTTAGCGTTTATGCTTCAATTAGGGATTTAGTTTAGGGTCTATGCTTCAATTCGGGATTTAGCTTAGGGTCTTGGCTTCAATTAGGGATTTAGCTAAGGGTTGAGGCTTCAGAGGTTCAGGGTTTTGGGTTTTATTTTCGGGGTCGCGGGGTTCACCCCAAACCCTAAACCCTAAACCCTGAAAGCTAAGTTGTCCTTATAGAAGAAATCCTTGATCCTACGTTCCTTCATCCTACCCCAAACCGCCGGAAGGATCTAAAAAATAGATCCCCTAATTTGGGACCCTAATTACTAAAGGGTACTGTAGAGGAACCCCAAACCCTAAGCCCTAAACCCTAAACCCTAAACCCTAAACCCTAAACCCTAAACCCTAAACCCTAAACTCTTAAAGGGTACTGCATAGGAACCCCCTTTAAGGGATCTACTTTTTGGTTCCTCCCGGTGGTCTGGGACCTGTTGAGGCCCCTGAGCAAAGTCGTAAAGATTGTGTTTGCGATAGGCTTAGGGTTTAGGGTTTAGAGTTTAGGGTTTAGGGTTTAGGGTTTAGGGCTTAGGGCGTAGGGTTTAAGGGTAGTACCCTAAGTTAGGGTACGGCACCCTCATAGAAAGAATCCGAAAAGGGACGGGGCCCTAGTTTAGAGAACTACCCAGAAATCTTCACGCCAGGCCCTTAGGACTTTTGGGTTCCTGGCTCATAACCCTTGCAGTTTAGAGCTGCATGGGAAGTTCTCCAAATTGGGATCCCTTTTGGGACCCTTTTTTCGCATACAGCGTGCCGTGCTATAATCGAAATATCTTTGAGACCGAAAATTTACAGGAGCCAAAAGGCAAGAAGGTGTACAAGAAGCTGCCCAAGCAGACCAGACAGCTGCTTCAGAAAGCTGCCTCCATCGCTAAGGCAGGCGGCGTCTCGTTCCACGGGAAGTGGTTCAAAGCACGCAAGTACCCCTGCGACGAGAATCATTGGCAGGACTTCCGTGTTGACTTAGGTCAAGCGGACGTGGAATCCAGATGGGCCCGCGGAAGACGAAGTCCCCTTAAACCCTAAACCCTGTTTACCCCAGACCCTAGCCACGTCTTGAGCGGCTCAAAGCCCAGGAAGGCTTGGCTGCTGCTGCTAAGGCCAGGGGCCGGCGGCCGGGAGGAGCAGCTCACCCTCTGCTTCCGTCTTCAAGAATTAGGGTTTAGCGTTTAGGTTTTAGGGTTTAAGATTTAGGGT